TTAAGTGATTCCTGCCTAAGACAATCCTACCCCGGGACCTTTGACCAAGACATTTACTGCTGACAGCTCTGAAGCAATCAACAAGTGATCTGCAAATCAGTGGTGTACTTTAACACAGAGATAATCCATTTCTAAGAATGACGATTAATCAGTTTGGAAATGCAGCCGTGTACTTAGCTGTTCCATGTTGCAAGGCTTTGTTTTTATCAACTTATTTCTAATTATGCACATTAATAAATCAAATACAACCTTAACATACTTATTATTACACAGGTTTTACATTTCTCACAATAAGTTTTAATAATAAAACTGAGCATGAGTCCAAACTAAGCATATAATTGATCTTATGTGTGATATGAATGACCCACATATCATTTTAGAATACAGTGCTATATAGTAGCTATTCTGCTTTATCATCACTATACAAAAACAAAACAAAAAAATGATAATATTCTAAGTAGCGGTGTACGTTTAAAGATTCTGAAATAAACCATCACACCTCAATATACTCCTGTCAGTAATTTCAAGCGTTTCAAGTCACTGTTCAAACAGGGGTTTTTTTTAAGAAACGCTAAAATATCATATCCTCTTTCAACTATCTGAACTTGAAACACCTTTTGTTGGCAGTAACTGTACCTTTCCGATCTTCTGATACGCTTCAATACAGTTAAACCAGGCCAACACTGGACCCTTGTCATCAGTAGATCCTCGTCCATAGAGCTTACCTACAAAAAGAAAACATTATTTCAGTTTCAAGGTTCCAATGAGAAGATAGTGGAGTTGACAAATGACACTAAGGTTATGTTTATTACATAGTCAGCAGACGACAGTGCCCCATTTTAAATCATGACTAAGATTATGTGTAACAATATGAAACCCTTGTTCATGATTTTTTTTTTAAAAAAAGGTCTGCAGCAAGTTTTTGTAAAATGTGACATAAGCAGCACTAACACAGCTGAGCAGGCAGGAATGAGACAGCGGGAAGAGGATGTGGCATTTTGTGTCAGCTGACTCAAAACGCACAAGATCACGCATGCTGAGTCCAACAAACCAGAACTTTAAGGAAGCAAAAAGCTCTTTAACACCCATCCATGTCTGTTTAAATCCAGATATATGTTGTAATAATACAACACACAGAAGAACTAAACTTGAGCCATTTTGCCTTTTCACAAGCCAAGTCTGTTCCAAAAGCTTCTAATAATAACTTTATGGGTTCAACTTGGCCTGAGAAGACTGGCGATAAGACTGCAGCTCTAACAAAAGATGAGCTAACTAGGCTGGACTTTGGAAACATGCTGCCAGCTGTTACTGCAAGGAGAAAGCTGATTAAAGCTTGAAGAACATTTAAATATAATTCAACCAATCTAAACACCAAAGAGAGAGATTGATGTTATTGATGTTGTCGCGAGATGACCCCTGTCCTTGCACCACCCCTGCCATACACCACGATGAGGCCTGTTGAGATCGCCTAAGATCAGGTGTGAATGTGGGTTGAAGCACCTGGGATCGGGTCTCAGGCCTGCACTGGAGGTGGCTGACAGCCGGTGTTGTAATCCACCACCTTTGTTCCAACGATGGTTTTTGAGCAGAGGCAAGGTGGCTTTGCGACTAATCTCCAGTCATTGTAATGACCAAGTGATTGTAATGACATGAGCCAAGGTGAGCCCTCATGTCAGGTGATGACATGATCAACACGTCTCAGGGCCATCTTGAAAGGGAATAACACCAACTAAGGGTTAAATACCTGGGACACACAACCATTTGTTTTTAGAAGGAGCCTCTTGGATGAGAGGTGAAATGTCTTTGCAAACTTAAAGAAGACCAACTGCCTTGTTTTTTTTCAAGCTCTCAAGACAATCCTGTGACTTGTTTTGTGTTACTCATCTTTGCATGTCAGACACATTCGTAGTCTACATAGTTTAGCTTGTTGATGGCACGCTTTCTCTTAGTTATAGTGCCATATAGCATTCTCATCTTACACTACCTACCTGTTGACTGGATTTGTTTTTGTTTTCTGTAATCTCTGTTCATTTAAGACCACTAAAACACTCTGTCCTCATTATTTTTTTGTTGTTTTCATAGTAATTGACCAGCTTTATTCATCTTAGAAAATTAGTTCGTCTTCTTCTTTTAGTTTTGCCATCTATCCTATCTACAGGACAGTACGGTAGCTCATTTTTCAGTCATATTTGATATTATAACTTTGCTAAACCAAAAACTACCCGGTGTAGCTTACAAACAGCTGGATACAGTAGCCTTAAAGTTTTAATTTTCATCTATTTTTACAAGCCCAAAGCGCGTTCCAGCTGACTTCAGTTGCATAACTTTCCAGCTCAGAAGCAGCTCCAGGGTTATTTTGTGCAGGACAAAGGCCAAAAGTATTCTCCTCTTACCGTCTTTCTCCACCAGAGTGAAAGGCTCCGTGTCCCAGCCATCATCGATGTTTGCTGGCTGAACATCAAGGTGCCCGTAAATACACACCGTCTTCTTGGCTGGGTCTGATCCCAACTGCCCCAGGATGATAGGAGGCAGGGGGATCTCCTCTCCTGAGGGAAGCTGCATGAATAATGATTTATGGTGAAATTTAAGTAGAAAAGATAACGCAATATACAAATGATTAATGCATTAAGAAATGTAACCAGTGCAAGACCTTCTGCTTGCCAACGTCCACCAACTCCACAGTCCCTCCCAGCCTCTCGATGTCCTTCGCTGCCATCTCCATCATTTTTTTGATCTCCCCGCGCTTCTCAGGCCAAGCAGACACACTCTGGACACCCACCCACTCAGCGAGGCGCTGAGGACAATTATGAAAAAGGGATTTAAAGAAATTAAAATAGGTGTTTTAGGCACTTTCGTCATGCTCAAAAAAAGAGCCACAGCAAGTAATTCTTAGGACACCAGACCTTCTACAAAATTTGACTAAAGCAGCAGTTATAATATCTGGTTTTACAGTTGGCATCTACTATAGCGCCAGCTTAAGTGAATGAGTTACAATGCTGTCCAGTTTAAAGTTAGCTCAATAAACCATTAAATCAAATGACAACCATACAATGATTAAACAGCCAAGAGGTCTTACATTGAGTCCAGCATAACTATTATATTTTTCCTGAGTAATCTTACCTGCACATACAGGTCCTGGTGGTCGTCCACATACTTGAAAAGTTCTGTGAGATGAGACATTTTGTGCCAGCAATGGGATCTGAAGGTTAAACAAGCAGACTGGTGTGAGTCCACCTCTGGGTTTGTGCAATCTTATGAGAGGACAAAGACCACGCCTTCCTGCCAATCTGCTGACTGCTGCTGAATTTGCAGCTCCCATCCTGCACATTAGGTCATGAGACTTAAGCTTGTTTCACATCATAATTTCTCAGATCTACAGCTGCAGCTGATCAGGACTTTAACACCAGG